GATTTATCTATGTTCAATCTCTTCTCCCTAGCCTGTAGAAACTGAGGCTTAATCATGCACATACATAGAAGGAAAATAACTCAAAGTAAAATATTTTTGGAGTGATCCTTTTTGGATACCAAGTATTGAAAATAACAGAAACATCTCTTTAGTTAATATATGCTCATGCATCTTAAAACATTTGAATTTTTAAACTTCTTTTGTGGTCTTGAAACCGTGAATATATGTTAACTAGGAATCCTGTGAACCCAGCCAGGTTAACAATGAAAGTGATATTTCACATGCTAATTTGAACAGACAAACAAAAACTACCAACATGATATCTATATTCTGTTTTATTTTTGCAATATTGAATATGGTGGATATTTTTCACAGTTTCTCCTTGACCAAAAGAATAGTAAGATCCAGAGTAGTTATGAGCCTATTTAGGTATTTTCTAAAAGCTGAGTATCAGTATGTCCCCAGATTCACACGTTGAAGTACTGGTACTCAATGATATGATATGAGGCTGTGAGAGATAATGAGGCCATTAGAGTAGAGCACTGCGTGGGATTACAACCTTTGTAAGCAGAAACAAGAGAGACAGGGCCTCTTTTTCTATGCCATGTGAGGGCCCCAGAAGGAAGTCTCTCTGTATGCCAGAAGAGGGCTCAGCAACTTGATCTTGGACTTCTAGGGTTCCAGAACTGTGAGAAAGAAATGTTACTGAAACCACTAGTTCATGGTATTTTTTAAAACAGCTCAAGATAAAAACCATGGTGCAAGATGCATCTGTGTTTGGGGCCCAGATGAAGTGGTTGGGGGTGGGATGAGTGAAGGAAAAGATGTAGGAATATAAGAAATATTTTGAGCATGTGGATATTATAATTTGCTCTTGGGGAGTGGATGGTAAATCTTAGACATATAATATCTTATATTTAAGATATAACTACCTATTCATTTGAAGATCAGGTAATAGATAGAAGTCAGGAAATAAATTGTTTGAGATCACAAAATAACAGAAAAGTAATGGACAGGAGGTAAAATTAGAATCCCAAATTTATGTTTAAATGCTCAAGATAAGATAATTGATTTATGCTATAGTCTCATTTTCTTATTTGACATTCAATTGTGATTTATATTTATGGCCAAATGGGTGTTTAAATCAGCACACTTTTATTGTCTTTTAGGGAAGTTTAAGAAACAAGCTGAAAATTTAAATGATGAAACTGTAGGATATGTCAGGTTATTTTGGATTTTTGTTGCTGTAACAAAATATGTGAGCAAGTTGACTTCAAACAAATAATATATTTTGACTCATGGCTCATGGACTTGAGACAGCTCTTCATAGCATAGGGAGCACATAGTGAACAGAACTGCTCATTTTATGGCTGTCAGGAAGCAGAGATAAAAAGGACTCAGGGACAAGGTATGCCCTTCAAATACATAACCCCTCTCCCCCGACAAGCCCAGTGACATATTTCTTGAATGAGGCCCCACCTTTGGATAAATCATTCCCTATGAGTTCATCAGTGGATTCCCCCATTGATGAAGTTAGTGGCCCCACCATCTAATCATTTCTCAATAGTACTGAAGAGGGGGGCAAGACTGCAACACTTGAAACTTTTGAGCTGGCTCTTCATAATTAAAAAATAATGGATCTTAATTCAACACCAAACTCTTTCTACTACTAGCAGCATTGAACCACTCATGAATGGATAAGGGGTATGAGAAAGTAACACAGGATAAAAGGTGACTCTTTTGGGACTATGAGTTCAATCAAGGGAAATATTGAGGTGCCAAGAAAGAAAAATGAAGCATATAGGCCATGTTATGTATCTTCTTAAGGGAAGACATGCATGGCCTCGCTCAACTTGGAAAATTATTTTCTCATGCCATGATGTTCTGGTTTCAGATAACAAAAATGAAAACTGAACTAGCTTAATGAGAATGCTACAAGAACCTGAATACTCTCCAGACCCATCTGGGCTTTTGATCCTTTCAAAAGGCAACTCCATTCTTTCTCTTTGCTGCCTGGCCATCCCTACCAAGAAGGAAACATAGGAAGGCCAGCTCTGCTAGAGTTTTACATCTCAAAATCTCTCAGGGAAAAACTAAATATGAACCTCTTCTTTTCCAAGCACAAAAATCCGATAGAAGGGATTCAGCACGAAAGACTATCATCAAATCAATAGTGACTTCAGCATTTTGATTTGTTTAATTTGCCCCAACTTAGAACCACAGAAGAAATGTTGTAGCAACATGGTGGTTAAACTCCAGATTAAAAATATAACAGCTAAAAGAAGGTAGTTTTCAGGAAAGGAGTACTCAGCATGTAATTCCAGCTGGCCCTCAGTTTGCTAAAGAACAAATTACTTAGTTTTCCAGATTGTAAATTTCAGCAACATGCTTTAGTGAACTGGTAAGGTTTTATTATAAAGTTACAAGGGAAGGGGGTGGGATGCAGAGATCTATTATTTCTGCTTCTGACAATTCAGTTAGCTTGTACTCCCTCCATCAGGTAGGAAATGTTCTGTATGATGGAGTTCTTTGCTTATGCTGACTCAGTAGAGATGGAAAGCCATAATTCTTGGCTTTTGTGTTCTCTTTATTCTGGCTTGCCCACCAGGGCACCATCTTCCTCTGTACATCTCTGTTTCTCATATTCAAATTGTCTAAGATAGGCTCTAAGTAGACCAGTCACCATTCAATATGGGAATGCTTTTATAAATTACAGCTTTAAAAAAAATGTCCATTCATCTTGTAGACTGTTGGTCAGGTACCCATCTTTGCCAGGTCCTGATTATTGTTTCAACCAGACAGAACCAGTAAAATATGGGTCAAAGTAGTCCTAACTGAGAATTAGAAGTGATTTGTGGGTGCACCGGATAATTTACTTGTTGGAAATCATGTATGGGCTGTGTATTGTCTACAAAATAGAGATTATTAAACTTATGAATTTTAATAAAATTCCTGTTTGACTAGGACTTATTCTAGAAAACATGACTGAGACTACAGCATAGAGTTTCTGCTGTAGACAGGTTGTAAAAGCAGTGTAGAGGGGTTGTTCTTTTCTAGTACCATGGACTGAACCCAGGCAGGGCTTCATGCAGGCTAGGCTGGTGCACTACCACTGAGCTGCATCCTTAGCTCTGCAAAAATCAGTATAGAAGTAGAAACTATCATCATGGGCCCTACTGGGAAACACTTTAAACATTTATACAATTAGTCTTTTTCTCACAATTGGAGCTAACATATGGTTGCTATAATTCACCTTTACAAAATATTTGAACCAGAAACTAGACTCTTACAAAATATGTTACCCTCCCCCAAGAGTAGCTTTTTTTTTTTTCATTTAAATTGAGATTGTGGAAGCAAAATGTAAATTTTAAAAAAACACTTCTTTTCTGTAGGAGAGGTACCTGAAAGTCATCATAAGATGATGAAGACTAGGGAAGGGAATTGAGAACAGATTGAATGAGGGAAACAGAAGGGGAGGGTGATAAAGACGGAAACAAAGACAATTGGAAAGGCCTGTGTGCTTACTTCTGCTATCAGTACCATTCTAGTCAAGTCCCCATCACCTGCTCTGGGCTTACTTTTTTCCCTGCCCTAGGTTGCTTCTGGGTAAAACGGCACACTCAGGTTGTTTTACCTCCAGCGGGCCTGTTATAGTTAGGTCTAAGGAAAGGCTGCATGCTCCAGGCTTTGTTACTGCTGTTTTCAGTTGCATGGAATAACTTAAGGGAAGGGGCCATAGACAAAAGCTATGGGAATCCAAGGCAAGGACTCAAATGATGACCGGGGAGGCAGGGTGCTTTGATTTTAGAGCATCCTTGATATTTTGTACTTATATATTTGCTGCTTCTAGAGAAAACCAAGAAAATGCAGTCAGAATACCTGTACAAATAGCAAGCCAATACTCTACTGCTCCCAGAAGGTTCTGGAGCCTGCTTAGAGTATAGTTTCAGAGCTGTAAAAGACAAAGTCTATGCAGACTACAATAGCTCCTTGCATGACATTTTAGATTGAGAGCTCAGACACTCCCTCAGCTATCAATGACCCTGGAAGCACAAACCTGCAGGAGGACAAGGCCTCAAGCTGTCTCTGCTAAGGAAGAAGCCTAGCTCGAGGTCCAGTCGTTACGATCTGACCTCCAATCTCTTTCACACTAAACATATCAGACGAGACAATTTGCATAAAATTTCACAATCAAAGGACATGGCTTTAAAAATATGGATTTTTAGTCAGCTTGGGAGGGTGAGAGAAACTGCATTACATTTGGGGGAGGTAATTACACACCCAGCATTCATCTGACCTTCAGAGGGGTGCTTACTACATGCTTTCAAAGTCCTAAGCATGGATGTGAGGGACGATGGCAGAGAGAGACAGAGATATTTTGCTCAAAGCAATGCTGATGCTGATTTTCCTTCTGTTTCTAGGGAAAGTCCTGTGTGTGGACTGGTGCCTTGGAGCAATGAAGAAAACGGTCATTTGCTTGTGTCAAAATTTTTGTTCTGCCAGCATCCCCCTGGTGAACTGACTACTCGGTGATCCAGCTGTCCTGGGCCTCTTCAGGGCAGTCTAGGTGAGCCCTTTAAATCCACCTTCTCCAGCTTTCCCCCCTCTCTCTCCCTCCGCCCCACTATCCCTCTCCCTGACAGGTGTTTTCCCAACTCTAGAGGCCAAGGATTTTGGGAAGTGGCTGAGCCAATAAGATTTCCCTGGGGGGCGGGGGGGGGTGGGGGCGGCGGGGAGAGAAGGGCGTGGCTAGTTGGGTCAGAGCCTGGGCGGGGCTTGAGCTCTGTTGGAAAGCCTGCTTGGTTGCGTGGAGGGTTGTTTGATTCCCACTCCCACTCCCCCCCTTTTTTTTCCCGAGTCTTATTAATTTCTCTGTGGGGCTGCAGCTGGAGACCGCCAAGCGTTGGAAATGACGCTCGGAGCTTTAATTACCGCAACGGCTGGACAAGTGTGAGGAAAGCTGACGGGGGGGGGGAAAGGACAGGATCCGGGGAGAAACCAAGAAGCTCGCCCCGCTCCCCTTCCCTCCGGATTTGGACTGGAGGTGCAAGCAAACTGCAAAGAGAGCCTAACATAGCCCGGCTTCGGGGAGAGGCCGGAACCCTGCCTCCTCTTTGCAATCAACTTTTTTTGGAAGCCTTTTTTCCCTTTCTTTTTATTGTTGACCAACCAGTGAGAAAGAGAGAGAAGGAGAGAGAAAGTGAGGAGGGAGCGAGAAAGCCGAGGATCACAGGGAAAAATAGCTGCACAGTTCGGCCCGGAGCAGCGGCTGCAAACAGTAGCTCACACTCCCACCAGCGCACACCCGAGGCACATCCTCCTGCGGCCGCTCGCGGGTCCTCGGGTCCCGGCCCTGGAGCCGCGGGCGCGGACTGGCAGTCGGGTCCAACCCCCGGAGCCGCTGCACAGTGCGCCGCGCCCGCCCCCCTTGCGCCCCCAGGCGCGCCGGGCTGGGGGATCTCCTCCGCGTTCCCGAAAGGGGCTATGCCATTTGGACATGTAATGGTCAGCACGGGATCTGAGACTTGCAAAAAATGAAGCTGGCGACGGGACTGTGGGTCTGGGTGAGCCTTCTGGTGGCGGCGGGGACTGTCCAGCCCAGCGCTTCTCAGTCAGGTGGGTCGCAGTTTCCTCTCGCTCTCCAGCTGTGGAAGCTGCTGCCGCCTCGGGTGGCTCCTTTTCCTCTTTGCCCATCTGTCACCCGCGGGTTCCTAGGATGGAGGGACCACCAGGACCGGGCTTCTTGCTGGGGTCGCCTCCATCCCAAACTTACCTTGGTGTGTGTGTGTGTGTGTGTGTGTGTGTGTGTGTGTGTGTGTGTTTAACTGATGTAAGAATTACTCTGCTTTCCGACCTCTCTCCTCCTTTATTATTTTTCCCTCTTGCTCGCTCCTTAGCCCCCTTATTCCTTTCTCGCGCGTTTTCTGGGAGCCTAAGCGGGATCGCTTCTGGCGCGCTTGTGCTTGGGGCGTGGGAGAGTAAACCCCATCCGAGGAGTCTGGGTCCTTCCAGTCTGGATTCGGGAGGGGGTAGAAAAATACCTCCCGGGAAGCGCAGGGCATTGGAGTTGGAGGGGAGGTCCCGGGGCTGCGCCCGTTGGGCCTTCGGCTAGCGTGCGCGGTGCTGAGCCCAGCTCCAGCCGCACCGGGCCGTGCACCTGTCCATGCGCCGCGACCCTTCCCAGCCCGGCAGCTGGAGCCCAGCGGGCTGCGCGCCTGGTGGGGACTGGCCTCCTCCCCAGGCGTCCCGGAGCTGTCGCCGGGGACTAGAGGGGCGCTTGCTTGCAGCCTGCCTGCCCTCTTTAGCCAATGCGCGGCGTGCACGAGCGGTGAGCCAGGCCTGGCCCGCGGGTGCTGCTTTGGCTCGCGGACGAGTTCTTCCTGTAGTTCAACTTGCTATTGGCCCGAGTCCCTCCAACTTCTGTTTACCGCCCGACCCGAGGCGGAGCCCTGCGCTCGCGGGAACTGGCTTAACCCGTGCGGGCTCCGGGCGCCGCTGCTGGCCGGAGAGCTCCAGCCCCGGGTATCCCGCCCGGCCGGGACAGGACTCCTGACCCCGGAGGCAGCGCGGTGGGTTGGGCGCGCCGCCCGGCAGGGCCCTGGATGGCACCTGCTTGCGAGGGAGCGCAAAGTTTCCTACACTTGGAGTTTTCTGGGGATGAGAGGAGGGGACAGGAAGGCACAGGGTGTCTGGTGTGGCCAAAGGGGCCCTTTTGGGAGAGGCAGGGAGATTTCCGGAACCTTCTGGAGCTGGTGGCGGGAGCGTGGGAGTCGGCATGAAGAGATAAAGCCCTCGGGAGTGGCGACAGGGAGAGCTTTAGGTCCCAGGAGGGTGTCCTTCGGACCTCAGCGAGAAACAGCACGCGGTAGTTTTCCCGCTCCGTCTCCGCCCCCGCCTCCCCTCCGTGCCCAGTAAATAACAACTTACAATCCCTGAGCAGTTCAAAATGACCTTCGAATGGCACATGTGCGCCATTTGTGCTGGCAGTTTGCACCCTCCCAATCACTCTGAAATTCTTCATGCATATCAGGTCCTGAGCTCGCTCCAGCCACCCTAGTATCACCCCGACAGGGACTTGGGATTCCAAGCGGCCTCTTAGATACATCTTATTTTAGCTACCTCCCCACTTGGAGCTCTTCATATTTCCCCTTAATGGGTTGATTATGCCCATTGACCCATTCAGAAACACTTGCCACTGCCCTGCAGGCTTTGCCAAGAGGAATTTCTACCAGGCGACCTACTGGGGGGCTGTGTGGCGTGGCCTGGGCTGCTGGGGGACCCCGCTTCCAGTCCGAAGCAATTTGGTATTAACCTTGTGGCTCCCGATTGAGCTATGCGAAAAGCCCTTTTCAGAATTTCTGCAAGGAATGTAATCCAAATTAGTTCTGCAGCTGTCCTCGTCCTCCTCTGGCGACACCAGCTTGCGTCCTTGCTCTTCTCTTTCCCCTGGGCGAATTGTCAGACCCACAAGGGAGCCCATTTAGAGCGCGAGGATTAGCGTGCCATTGTTCCGTGTGTGACTCTGTACTTGAAATTCTGGGGACACAAAAGCGAGCCTCACTTGTTCAAAACACAAAGTGATCTAGATGAAAGGGCCGCACAAAGAAAAGCTCTCGGGTGCATCCCGGGTATAATTGCAACAAGCATACTAAGGTGATCCATTGGAAACTGTCAGTGCCCCCAGGGACTTCTTTTTTCCAGCCTCCTCCACCGCACCTGGCGGAGAAAGTTCAGCTGGTTTTAATGTTGTGCTATCATAAAAACAAGTTACAGTCTGGCGAGAGTGAGGCTCTGTGCATTTGTGGTTCTCTCTCTGTGTGTGGTTGTCTCTCCAAGTAAATACATATTTCGCGTCTTGCCTCTCGTGGTTAGCAGTCAGTAGCAGTTTGGAGGAGTTTGTTTTGGTCCAAATGAGAAATTAAGTGCGGATAAGTAAACCAAGCTGCCAGAGGGCGACAAGATGTTGAGTGGATTGCTTTTAGATGAAACAAATTAAGGAAACGAGGGAAGACAATCTGCTTCTCGCATTATTAGACATGCTTGGAGTTCAGGGGAAAGCGGCATATTTTTGAAATGCTAATTTCTTAAGGAGCGGAAGGAATGCACCTTATTTACTGCTCTTTGTGAATGGAATAAATATATATGTTGGGAGATTCTATTGTACAGAGCTTCAAGATGCTCCTTAGGAAAAATGTATGTAAGAGGACTTGGCTTTTATTTTTCCTTTTGCTGAAGAAAAAGTCAGTTTAGAGAATTTTTAAGTAATTCTGAAGGATTTTTGTCATACACAGTGATTAATTTTACCTATAAATATTATAGCCCAAAGGCCTTTATATGACAATTCAAAAGCCTTTTCCACCCACAGGAATAATTCTAAAATTTCCACCTTCTTCCTGTGGTGAAACTGATCAATCTTACCATTGTATCGAAGTAAAAATACGTAGGTGGATTGAAGGGGCACTATTAGAAATCTTCTGCTCTTGTTTCTTGTGTACAAGAAACTCAGTCTTTCTGCTTTTCGTTTAATTAAAGTGCATACACCTGCTTATTTAAGATATATGGTCATCCCTTAAAACTTTAGGTCGTTTTCTACATTTGAGAAGAGTTTGTTAATAAGAGTTAAATGACAAAAAATGTTACATGTATTTTCAAAACTGCCTCAATCCTTTAAAAAAGTGCTGTTAGTAAAAGGTGTCCATAGGAACACTATCCCTTTTGTTCCTTTAAATCTGAAATTCTTGCATATGTAGAAGAGAGTTTTATAGAACAACTTATTTTCCTTTCCAAAGACTTTTAAATAAATGAATACCTCTCAGGATAGTTGCAAATTAAAGTACTGGAGCTTTCTTCTGTTGTGATGAAGTAGAGTGACTGGTTCTGTCTGGATTCCTTGCTTTTTTCCTCTTCAACTTCACTGCCTTTATTTTAATCATGCATGCGTAGAAAGTCAAATTTCTTGAAAATCAAGGCACTTATAGTTTTATATATATTTTCATTTAGCCCCTGAAAATGTGCCTTAATTAAGAAATTACATTAGAATATTTACCAGGGCATGCACTTCATGGAAGATTGATGTAGTTTTTATTCTAACCTGAGCACAGTGTTTGCATTGGCTGATTTTTTGGAGTTTGCATTCACTTGATGGAAAATCATATTTCTTCCTCAAAGTGGATTCAGATATTTAGTATTCATGAGCTTTCATCTTTTTTGGTTCTTAAATAGAAGTGCTACTTATCATCTGTCGTATGTGCTCACCCTTTTCATTACTATAGATTCTTTACATCCTATTATTTATTGAGTTCAGGCATATGTGAATATATATTTTCCCTTCCACCACTAAGTATATTCGTGTGTGTGTGTGTGTGTGTGTGTGTGTGTGTGTGTGTATTTTTCCCAGCAACCTGCCACTCAGTCACTGCAGGAGTCCTTTGAACCTGTTTTCATTCTTCCTGATAAATCTGATATGGCTGGTCGGCTGAACAATCGTAAGCCATTCCATTGCTCAGATTTATTCCTGAATGAAAATAAAACAGCATCCATCCCAGATCACTAAGGTATCTCAGAAGCCCACACTCCAAGGGCAAAGCCTTCCACAGAGAGGTACCTCTTTGCCTGTGTGCTCCGGCTTTTCCCTTGACCATGAAAAGGTGGACTACTGCCATCTAACAAAAGCCACTGACATAAGGAATTGTGCTCTTTCTAAGGATTCTCTGAAGCTTGATGAGCAGAGCCACCTTGAGATTAATGGCTATGTAAAGTGCACGTTTTCCACAATAAACTGAATTAGCATGTCTCGAACATTGTAGTGCTTTGAACTGGTGTCACTTTGTGCTATGTCAAGTTAATTAAGAAAAGTTAACATGTATTTTCAAAATAGCAGTAAGTTTTGGTTTTGCAGTGAACTGCTGCTGCTGGATGTCCATGGGTGATTTGTAAGTGCTCAAAACATGAATGAAGCATATGGTCAAGAAAGATGTCCCATTACCTGAAAACCTATTGGCATTTGTGCTGCCTAATTTCCTGTTTTTGAGGAATACTATTTTATAGAGATGATAATGTTTGCGTTGAAATTAGTTAATATATGTTCAAGTCTACAGCTATTCTGTAAAAAGTGTCAGATACATCCGGTTGTCATTTGCACTGATTTCCTAAATGTGCTACACAGGGCAGAAGTTAATCATGCTGCCAATAGTTTTCAGATTATATCACTTTATTAGATGGTCCATTATATTCATATTTCACCATATGGAAGTAAATTGTATCTTTTTCCCAATATTCATTTTGTGAAGTGTTTCTAAATATTGGGTAATCAGAGTAAATTCTTTTCATCTGTCTAGTAGATATGAATTTACAGTTTATAGTGAGGAAACGTTTTTTATTTTATTCATCCTAAGTAAGACAATCCTAATTAATTCAATGTTTCTTGAAACTGTAGTACTTCTACATAAATTTGAAGGAGACCTTACTTGCCTGTGTTGTGGTTAAGGACAACACAAAACATTGCTATGTGGTTTAAATCAGGATTTCTATATGCTAAGGACAATTCTTCCAGTCTCTTGATATTTTGAGCAATTCATTACATGGCTTTGCGAGTTGCATTGTCTGCCTGGGGGAAA